TTAGGGTTTAGGGTTAGGGTTTGGCGCTGCTGTTTCCCATGTCGGGTGGTTGCTGCTTGGCCTACAACAAAAAATGGCAATGACGTGTTCCTGTTCTACAGTCACGGTTTTTCCTACCATTGTGGTTGTTGTTGCTTCTCGTTGTGGCTTCTGTTTGTGTATACGCATAAGCACTCACCACAGCACCAACCTGTCACAACACCATCATAATTCATACTCGTTGCGAGATTTGAGCCTGCTGGTGCAGTCCTGCTGGCACTGTTCGGCCGTCTCTTTCCAGCGATCTCGCTCCCGTATCTGGTCACGCAGCTGCTCATGCTGCTGGAGCTGGCTGTCCACGCACTCCAGCACCTGCTAAGCTGCTAAGCACATCTAAGCACAAGTGACACAGCATACACGGTTTTGCTGAGGCCACGATCGGAGACTAGACTATATTGCAGTTTTGAACAAAAGAGGAAGTTACCCGCAAGAACTCCCCGTGATTCCGATGCCGATGCAGGCAGCAGGTAAGCCCAGGCCCACCACAGAACCAGAATTTACTGCAAGGTTTCATGCAGAGGCCTTTCACAATCAAATTTCGCTTTTGGGGTATCAACTCAGGTGTCTAGTCCTTCCTGAAGTAGTGATGCCTAAGTTCTCCGAGCGTTCATCTCTCTCCTTGCCAGGCCTCTTCCTGCAATCTCTTCTCCAGGCGGTAGCGCGCGCTGCCGCGGCCGCCGGTGTTGGGGCTCTTGGACAGTGTCTGCCACATCACCGTCTGGACGGCCTGTTGGCAACAAGGTGCAAGTCTTCAAGGTCCTAGGATTCAGGCGCCTAACAGGTCTAGGACATGGGGGGGGTTCTTAGGTTGTGCTTCTTTCCTTGCAGTTTCTTGTCCAGGTGCGTGTTCTGCTATTTGAAGACGTGAGGGACCCCGAGCCGGATCCTTATGTGAGACTACCTGCTGAAAAGACGTCATGTCCTTCGTGAGCTCATGACTCCACGTTCCGCATGTTTTCAGCGACATGACCACAAACCGTTCAGAAGGTCCGGCAAAAACGCATAATCACCTCAAGATCATTCCTTGGGGCGGGAGGTCACAAAACTACTGCAACTAAATGTGCCGAGATGGACGGACAACCTAGAGCCTGGCTTTTAGACCCGAAGTAGCCTAAGCCCGGAAACCGCCTTGTCCAAGGCTGGGCTCAGATCGTCGCGCGGCTCCTTGGCCGCCAAGGCAATACCGCCTGGGGACTGCCAAAAGGCGCAGAGTGTTGGGTGTGGGTTCTGGGAGGTTGGGAAGGTAAGGGGTAAATATCACAGCACACCACATCACATCACATTTTCATCAAAGCACAGCGGAGCACATCATATCATATCATCGTATCATGCCACCGTGTATCATATCAGATCATGTCAGAACATATCATCATGTTATACAATAGCATAACATCTCGTATCATATCGAGTCAAATCATATCATATGAAATCATATCATACAATATTATACTATACCAAATCATATCATATCGAACCATATCATGTCATATCACACCACATCATGTCATGCAAAGCCGTGCATTCCCCACAAACCTGTGTTGTTTCAAGTGGTGTAGCCATGGCCAGCATGCTTCTCCCCTCACCCTAAACCCTAAACCCTAAACCCTAAACTCTAAACCCTAAACCCTAAACCCTCTGTGCGTCCGGGGGCACCTAGCTTCACTGCAAGCGTCTCGGGACCTGCCCCGTGCGGCGCGCGAGATCCGTTCAGGGTTTAGGGTTTAGGGTTCTTAGTATAGTTACCCTACTTATAGCCCCATTTATAACTACCCATGAAGCTCCAAGTATAGAGCCCTGGTAGTGGTTGGGTATGTTGGATCGTTCAGGGCTTGAGGCGCGAAGGATCTTGGAGCTTCGCAGTGAAAAGCCGCTGGCATTTGCAATTCGGGATGCAAGGCTTTGGCTAGAGACTTAGGTCTTTCGGCTGAGTTTTGCACGGCTTCAAAAAGCCATTCCCCCGCCCTCCGAAAGCCTGAATTAGGATGCTGGTTTCCAAACAAAGTGCCTACACTATCGGCGTTGCAGCAGCCCTCACTCGACCTCCGGTGCCAGCACTCGGGCTCTTGTCCTTCACCAGGTTCCCAGAACAAAACACGATGAGGTTTACGGTCTAGAGCTAGGGATCCTTCGTACTATTCAAAGCAAATCTGATTCGCTGCTCTGCGTCATCCTGCATAGATGGCCGTTCCGGAGTTTGCATGCTCTTTCCGTGATGCAGAGTGACGGTTCTTTGAACCTGGTCACAGTGCAAGGCAGCTGATGCATGTGATGCATCTGTCTTGGGCCTGCTCTTGCAACGGCTATCCGAGAAGTGCCAGCTGATGCTCAGGATGTGCATTTTTGCCCTATGACGTTTGACGTTTGACCTTCTTCTTGCATGGCTATCAGATGGCCTAAGGGTGGTAAGACAAGCGCGAATTGTCTTTCGGTCTACTGAGCGCGATCAGTTGGCTGTACAACGTTTGAGTCAGTAATGCTGAGCAGAGTTTGGGTTTGTTCTAGGGTTAGAGGATCTATGGTCTTCACTGTCAAACATACAGAGAAATTCGTTTCCCATAGGATAACGAGACGGTTGAGAGCCTATGCATTGTCATCTGATAGTTGCAAACTCACTACTTGCGAAGGCTCGACAACCCAGTCACCCCGCAACTTGAGTCCCCGACCACATCTACTCGGAGCTCGGAGCTCTTACTTGGCCCTAGGACGCACTGAAGTCGGGAGGCTTCTGCAGCGGTTGGTCCTGCGCTGGAGGTGAAGCACCACCACCTCAGAGCCAGTAGTGGCGGTGATCCCAGTCGTGGTAGTAGAAGAATAGTAGTGGTGGTAGTGATGGTGGTAGTATTAGTAGTAGTAATAGTAGTAGTAGTAGTAGTAGTAGTAGTAGCAGCAGCAGCAGCAGGAGTAGTAGTAGTAGTAGTAGTAGTAGTAGTAGTAGCACTAGCCCTAGCACTAGCACTAGCACCAGCACTAGCAGTAGCACTAGCACTAGCAGTAGCAGTAGCAGTAGCAGCAGCAGTAGCAGTAGCGGTAGCAATAGCAGTTGGACTAGTAAATCGCAACCAGCAGCAGCAGCAACGACACCAGTAGTAGCAGCAGCAACAGCAACTGCAGGCAGAACAATCTGTACCTTCATTGTACCTGTTGCCATTGTAGCATCATCATGAGCATCAGAATACGCCACGATCCCGACAACGGGAGGGATGATGGACGCTCATGCTGGAACGGTGCAGACAGGATCAAAATTCATCATAATGTTTGCAATGCTTTGGTGACGGAATGCAATCGCAGCAAAAGACGAATGCTACCGAGGTGATCGTGATGAACAGCTCGGCAAACACCAAATGCAAACCCTGCGTAAATTCTGCAGACCCGTGCCTGCCTCGTCGTTTCAGCAGGCCCTGCCAGCTGCCGCCGCTGCCCTCGGCAAAGGAGGCCGCAGCTTCCTGGAGCCCAATGGCCTCACGCAGCGCAAGTATTTGAGGGTTTGGGGCCGCTTGAACCACCCGAAACCTTATCACAACTATCATGATGGCGATACTGATGCTGATGCCTATGTGGCGCTGATGCCTACGCTGATGCTGATGACTGCGTATACGATGAGGGTGTCGTGGCTATTGCTGCTGTTGCTTGCTGCTGCTGCTGTTGCACTTGTAGCTCTGATGGTGGCCCATGAACGCGAAGATTTGCGAACGAGTATTCAGGGGGGGGCGGGGGGCCTCTGTACTCCGAAAGCTCCAAAGCTCTGGCCCTAAACGTGAGTTTAAAATTTCGACTCCTCAAAGAAGAAGATCACACTTCCTCATCCCCAGAGGCACCAAAAAACCTTGTCTGCGACAGCTCGTGAAATCCCCTGGGCATTTGGTTAGGCTTCGGGTTTCGGTACTTCGGTTTGAGGGCTCTGGATGCTTACATAGGAGGTTTGGATGCCAAGTACTCAAACCCAAAAAACCCTAAAACCTAATGTAGGGGCCTAAGTAATTACCTATGTCATTTTGGGGGTTCCTTCCTATATTTATACTATAATGGGCCCAAAACCCTATTCTAATCATTAAGGCCCCTCTATTAAGGCCCGTCAAGCCAAGCGGAAGGATGCCTGCTGCCTCAGCTGGAAGAGCAGAGACTCCACCTGACAAGCTCGAATCGACGCGGTGCGTGCTTAGGGTTTAGGGTTTAGGGTTTAGGGTTTAGGGTTCAAGGTTCAGGGTTTAGGGTTTAGGGTTTAGGGTTTCAGGCTTATAACCTCTTGTAACCACTACTACTATCACTATTGTTATTGCAAATAACAATTAAATAGTCACAATAATAATAATAATAAGTACTGCTATTGCTGTTACCATGCTTGTTTGGGATCAGCACTCCGGGTTCAGGGCCCCATGCTTCGGGTTTGAGGCCCATTCAGTTGGATCCATTTCGGCCTCCTAAACTGGTACAGGCTCACGGCTTTGGCTCACTGTCAAAGGCACGACAAAGCCTATCGCAAACGCCCCAAACCTTTCACCCTAAACTATCTATCTATCTATCTATCTATCTATCTATCTGTCTATCTATCTATCTATCTATCTATCTATCTATCTAATCTATCTATCTATATATATATATATATATCTATACATATACATACATATATATATATATATATGCTACCCCCCCCTCAAGGATCTACCGTTTTCGTGTGTTTGAGAGCCGCAGGCAGAAGACATGAAGATTCGTATGGATTTGTACATGTGTG